TTAAGTGCAAAAGAGCACAGTTCACAACTGACAAAAAAGACACATGAATTCTTTGCATCACAAACTCCATTATTTCTRTTCCAAACCCCTGCCAAAACCAACACAGGCCAAAAGAAAGGTATCAGGTGACTTTTGATTGAAGCAGAAGGTGGCATAGATACTACCTATGCTATCTGCTCTCACCTCAAACTTAAGGTGGGATCTCTGTGCTGGTCTGAAACAAAGCCCAGACTGTTCTGATAGACCTAGGCTGTCTAAGTCAAGAGAGATAAAGCAAGACCTATCTGCTTTGCACTCTCTTTATGCAATATTTGATCCAGTACAACAGAATCAAGCACATCAGGCCTGGTACTGTGCTATTCAGTCCTCCCAAAATCCATAGGGCAGACAGCAAAGCACAGTGCAGGCATASTGCAAAGACCTTGCAGTGAAACCTGCACACAACAGCTCACTGGTTTCCTCTACAACTCATTTTTTTTCCAGAGTTGTTCCCATCCTGCACTGATCTCTATATGGCTAGCAACCAGGTGAGCTATGAATTATATATGCTACAGATCTTCCTAATGTTCAACAAATWATGTTGAACTTTTAAGTTCAACTTAAAAAGAGAGTATTGCTTCCTCAGAACTTTTAAATTCCTGGCTTCTTTTAAAAAAATGACCATCAGAAATTTTCTGTGTACATTTTAACTTCTATAGACCTCAATTCATTTCTACTACCTTTGCCATCCATCTCTTTAGACTTCTTCACAAAGTTTTTAAAGCCCACAAATGACAAGTGTGACCAGCACAGAACACTGTTTAAAAACATTGTGAGAGACAGTTACCACCACCCAAGGCAGTGGGTGCAACGATCTGTAATCGCTTCCCTAGTCTCAGMATTAATTTTGTCCTCAGCCATAAGCCGGAGGCAGAACTGGCATACTCTCCTGCTCTGGAATAGACAAAACCTATCTTTTCTATATTGACACGGCAAGGATGGCAATCCACAGAAGTAAAGACAAATTACAGTGGAAATGAGTCACCAGTAGCTGGGGAAATTCAATAAACATAGAATCTCCTACATCCAAGTACAGCAAAGGTCAGGGAAAACTGTATCTTAAGACAATAATGAACACTCACAAGGAAGTTAATTTTGTAAGAGAAGTGGATGGTAAGTTTGTCAGCTGAAAAAGAAAATGGGCATCAAAATTAAGATGTCACAGAAATGAAATTTGCAATAGCAAAATACTTTGAAAGAAGCTGTACTAGAGAAACAGTTGTGTAGATCCATGTTCTTGGAACCTTCTAACCTGTAACCCTAATATATTATATGCTTTCCTGATAAATATGTATGTCTTGATCCCAGCTGGTTCCCTAGCTGAATTGTATGACAGTTTGACAGTGACCTGTGGTGAGAGGCTCACAACTACTGCTCACTTTCTCTCACAGAGTTTGACCTGCAAATGTAATAAAAATACTTYATTGTTCTTATCCAAATGCCTCATAAAAAAGTGCAGTAGTTCTACCTTCAACAGGCAGACAGCAGATTCCCTTGTATCTGACAGAGCAGCATTTCAGACTATTCAAGAATCATTGCTAATCTGCTACACACCTACACAGCAAATTCATAGTCCATATTCTTAAATTTTGCACACAAAAAGGTCAAAAAAACATTGATGTATTGTCCAAACAGAAAAAAAAATACAAACAATTTCATATCAGTTTTCACTCACTACCTTGTGAATATACTTGTGAATATACTTGTGAAATTACTTGTTCCTCTATTTTTTCCAGCACGCATACCAGTTACCATGACTCATGGAGGGTTTAGTTTTGATTTTGTAGTCACTAAAAACTTATTATTTAGCTCAGTTAATTTATTGCTATGCTTCCTGGTCTTCATCCTCATTGGGGTAATTTGTACTCTTCCTTTAACTGCTAGAAGAGGTACAGCTATGAGTTGTCCTATGTAAGTTTTCACTAATTTATTTTAAGATGTTCACAGGGTATTTCCTATCATCTGTTTTCTGATTTTTTTGAAGCCTGACAGTGTTTACATTCTACTTATTTATGTCTCTCCTTAATGACTGTTAAAACCCACATCTCATGGTCAAGCAGCTGTCCAGTACTATAGAACACAAAACAAATCAATGGTATATAAAACAACATCTGAACAGYTTAATTTAAAAAAATCACCAACATTTTCTGGTTAGTGGAAGTCATCCTTACTTCTTTTAGACTTCTGGCATTCTGCTGATGCTGTGGGATCAAGGTTTTTTTAAGATCATCTAAAGCACAGTGACAAATATACAAAAATACACAGATTTTTCACASTTATTTTCATAAAATCATAGCAGTAGTATTTTCCATATGAAAATAGGAGAGGTTCCCTCTCCTATGGAACCTCCTGTTCTCTACTTAAATAAAAAAAACAATAAGGAAAAATTACTGACTGTGAATGATCACATGGAAGATGTGAGCTTATTTTTCAATATGTCAAATTTCAGTTTGTATAGCTGAAGKATAAAAGGCCTTCTCTTAATTTGATGCCAAAGATGGAAGAGAAGAACGGAAGTGTGAATTAAACATTAGCCCTTTGCCAGGTTTCTTATTCTGCTTTTTAATACACTCTTTTTCCAGATTATATTGACTGGATCAAACCAGAGAAATTAAAAAGCTTAATGATAAACTAGTAGAAAAACACAGGTAAGTATGGTTAAGAATTATTAGACACTTCATAAAAGTTCTAGTTTTTCATTTTCTTTCAAGATATCTTGCAGAACCTCATGCTATATAACAGCTTGTCCTCTTCATTCCCCACTCCGTGTCATTTCTAGCTTGCAATTTATTCTTCATCAGTCATTTTATTATATTATTAAAGTTTTCTGCAGGAAGGAGAAAACTATTTTCAACATCAAATAAGTAACTGAAAAATTATCAGTAGTGAGGAAGAAAACAGAGGAAAGAGAAGATCTCTCCCTTTTGGTGGCAGTAAAACTGTGTCAGTGCAAGCTGGTTCTGTAGAATTTTCAATATATCAAGAGAAAGAAAGTTAAATWAGCAGAAGAGAAGAATGAGAGCGAAACTGAACTGATGGTTCAGAAAACCTGCATTGTGTCACCTGTATCATTAAAACAGACTTTACGTGAAAGAGCCTTAAGATTCACATCAGTGCTGCTCTCAGGGACTTCAGGCAGAGCTGCAACTGCAGATCATTTTAGAGCCAGCCCTCCCGCCTAAAGCAACATCAGAGCAACTTCAGCTCTAGAATGCAATAATTCTCAGTATTCTTAGAGTACATCTGAAGAAAAATTGGGAGACACAAAGGCTACCACAATGTAGTCTTAGATCTATTTCAATTCATTGCTGATTTTAAGAGCCTGTGCTCCTGTAGAGTTCAATGGCTGTTTCACCTCGCTGTCCTTCTACTGGCACTATAACTACAATTCCAAATACAGAGATAAACCTTAAAGTTGTAGCAGTGGGCTTTCATGGTGAAAGGGATTTCAGCATGAATTCAAATACCAAGAAAAAAATTACCAGTATTTCTCACAGAAGTAGTTTTTGACTGGTGAATAGGGACTGACACTTCAGCAATCACAGAGAACTCTAACTTTCACTGTTCCTTGTTGCTAAAAGACAAAACCTTTTGTACACTCCTCAAAGTCACCATGAATCCCAGCGTGAGAAGATCAAAAGTTGAAAGCCARATGAAGAAAACCTGGAAGAATATTAACTACAGCAGCATATTAACCCTGAGGAAAAACACGATGACAAAAGGGCGTTCACAATTTCTTCCCAGATACTCATTTGACACATGCTTTAAGTCACTGACAGGAAGTTGCACAGCAAAACAGGTCCGGGGAACTGTTCTGAAGGCAAAACATCCAAAGCAGACATGTTTCTAAAGAGAAGGTGTACTAATTATGTAAATGTGTGGTCTCAGACTTTCTGCTTCTCCTTGTGCTCTGAAAAATACCAAGTCAGAAACCTCCACAGCCTCAGCATGCTCTAGCTGATGCAGTCATATGAAAGATGTGGAGTATAGCAAGCAGATAATCAGACCTCGAGAAGGAGAGGAAAGAGGACTGTAAAACATTATACAGCAGGGGCACCTGGTCATCTTCAGGGAACCTCCCTTCCATGAATTATACATAGTGCAGCCTACATAGGGCAGCCACAGAGAATAAGGGCATCCTGACTCCTGGAACACAGGCACAAACCTAGAAAAGCATTTATCTACAGGAGTGGGATAAACGTACAAGTAAGAATTATTTCCACAGAATGACAATCAGTTAGGTTGGAAAAAAACCTGAGATAATCATGTGCAATAATCAAACACTACCATGTCAACTAAACCATAGCACTAAGTGCCATGTCCAGTTGTTTTGTGACCAGTTTCCAGCATGGTGACCACACCACTCTCCTGGGCAGGCCATTCCAATATTTATCAACCCTTTCCGGGAAGAAATTCTTCCTGATTTCCAACCTGACTCTCCCCTGGYGCAGCTTGAGGCCATTTCCTCTTATGGTGTCATTGGCTCAATGAGGCTGAGGCCGACCCCTGGCTACAGCCTTCCAGGCAGTTGTGGAGAGCCTTAAGGTCTCTCCTGGGCCTCCTTTTCTTCAGTCTAAACACCCGCAGTTCCTTCAGSTGCTCCTCACAAGACTSGTGCTCCAGATTCTTCATCAGTTTCATTGCCCTTCTCAGAACCCTAGCCCTTGCAGAAGCACTCCGAATTACCCAGAAGAGCAAATAATTGCTGCCTACCTAGTATAGTCTGCGCTCTGAAACTCTCCTTTGGCTTTAGGGTTTTTCTGGCATTAGGGCATTAGCTAAATGAGAAACCCGCACATGTTTCCCAGTGCACGGTAAGGGCCCGCGCTCGACTCCCTCGGCACCACCRCTTCTTTTCACCGATCAGCCGCCGTCCAGCCACCCCGCCAGCTGCGGACAGCGGCGCCCGGCTCAGGGGCCATGCAGGARCGCAGGACGCGGCTCGCCGGCCCGGTGCGTACCTGCGCGGCTCTCGTGCTTGGGCACCCGGTAGTACTTGTTGCCAAACTGGTCGGTGCCCACCAGCTCCTTGGTGGGCCCCATGAGCCGCAGCCGCAAAGCGCGGAGCGCCTGCCAAGCACGGCTCATTTTGGGATGGCGCCGCTCACAGAGAGCGGACAGCGGGCATGGGGACACGGGGACACGGTGACACGGGGACACGGATCCCACACGCCGCGTCCCGCTCCCGTCCCTGCTGAGGGCTCCAGCGCCGCCCTGCCCGGCCCGATCCCGCCTATGGGCGCCGGGCGCGCCAGCAACACCGCTGCCCATTGGCGCGGGCCGGCCCCCCTCCAGCCAATCGCGCCCGCGCCCGCGCCAAGATGGCGGCGCGGCGCGGAGCGGGCCGGGCGCTCCCGCCATGTTGGGGCTCATGGCCGCTCGCCAGGCCGGGCTGGATGACCCCGCGCGGCTGCGCCGGGCCGAGCGCACCCGGAGGTACCGGGGCCGGGGCGGGTGTCCCTGYGCGGGGAGGCTCCAGAGGGGCACCCCCTGGCTCCGCCCTGCCGCGAAGCCTCGCCTGGCCCGACCCGCGCTGGGGCGGCCCGGGGCGGGGTGTGGGGCTGCGCTGTGCGCGGGTCCCGGGGCGGAGGAGCCGGGGAGCCGCCCCAGCTTCTCCCCGCGTCCACCGGCCTCGTCTCGGAGCCCCCCGTGGGGTTGTGGCGTGCGTGGGTCGGCTGCCCCGGTGTTTGTGTGCGGTGTGCTCAGCCCTGGGCRGAGTGCATAGCGCAGTTAGCAATGCCTCATCCCCTGCAGCTCGCTGTTACTGCCCCTGCTGTTGGCGCGGTTCCTCCGCGGGCTGTGCTGCGCTTGTGAGGGAACAGGTGTTCATAACGCTCGTGTGCCTGCATCTGCTCGTCCTTCCTTTCCCCAAGCGCGGCCTTTTGTCAGGTTGAAGGAGAATCAGATGCAGGGGTTTCATTAGTTTCCCAGCAGTTTTTGTGGAAAGTTGTGGCATAGACAGATTTGTTAACGTTCCTGCTAAAGGTTATAGTGTGATAATGTTCRTTCCATATCAGAGAATCTACTCTGCAGCTGCATTTCAAGATAAATMCAAGAACGCCTACCTCAGTTCCTTCACTCACACAACTCCATCAGGAGGATCTGTGTTGGTGATTAATGGCTTTATGTTGCTGTATGATTGTAAAATGAATATTTTAAATTGAAGTTAATTTTGATAATTGAAGAAGTCTCTTTCTGAGTGTATTTTGACAGCACACTTATGTCCTTCTGTGCCCTCTGCACTCATGTAGCATTCAGTGTTAAGAACGGTAGCACACCCGACAGACTGTAGCTTTCTCAGGCAACTGTCTGCTTAGCGTTTCCCTTCCTAAACTTTTTGATTTTGACTGAMAATCCAATGAAGACTATAGATTTTTCTAATTTATAGCTGCATTTTGAAGTCATGTTTTAAAACATTTCCACWGGAGGATTTTTGATTCCTAAAATTCCACCTGGATTTTTTTTTGCCACTTGAGCTGACGCTGTGTCTCRCAGCTTTTCAGTTACTTGCTTAATTACATTTTTGCTATTAATGGTTTGTACAGAATGGTGCTGTAGGAAGCTCTCATCATCTTGAAAGGCTTCATTTTATGTCAGGTAGTATGATTTAAAGAAGCAGAATCCCTCTWTTTTTGACTAGTAATATTCGCATATTTAAAAATACAAGATTAGAATTGCCTGTCAGAAAACGCTGTGGTAGCTTCATTATTGGAGGTTACCTAGTTTTTATTTAGTGTTGCAGAAAATGTAGCATACAAAGTTTGTTTCATTAAAGGAAATACTTTAAACTTTATRAACTAAATGAATTTGTCCACTAGGTGTCCGTAGTTCCAAGCAGGATGGAGCTTGAAAGGATGCTGTATGATGTAGCTTCAAAGAAGCTTATACTTGTTGTGATTGCAACACTTGTTAATATTTCATTTTCTCAGTRTTTGCAAATTTCATTCCAGTTTTGGTGAAATTTGTTAATTTTGGTTTTGTTTAATTTTTGTTGACTCCGAATGCAGTCTTGCTAATTATTTGATCCTGTTTTACATATTTGTTTCTCTCTTACCTTTCAAACAACAAAGTATTTTGGTCTGCCAACTTCACAAAACTTATTTCCATCCCTATGTCATGTTTTGCAAAAAAATGGCCAGAATGAGTTAAATGYACTGAAGGGGCACAGAACTGGGGTTTCAGCTGTTCAGATCTACATAGTAACATTTGATAACTATTCTTGTTGTTCGTGTCTCTTTCTTCCCATGTTTGCGGTTAGGGTTCTAAGTTTGGAACTGAATAAGGATAGAGATGTCGAAAGAATACATGGAAGCGGTATCAACACCCTCGATATTGAGCCTATTGAAGGAAGATAGTAAGTACATGCTTCAGTTGGTAAAAATGTATGTGAATAATTCACTATGTTTTGGTACTGTGTATTTGTTTTCTTGTTGATCACTCAGTTAAACTGAGYATATTGAGATTATGAGTGTTGTAATTTTTGTGTTCAAAAATTTTCAGCATGTTATCTGGTGGATCAGATGGAGTTATCGTACTTTATGATCTTGAAAACTTGAGCAGAAAACCAAGTTACACATGTAAAGCACTTTTTTCTGTTGGAAGGTAAGTACTCCAAAATTCTGTTAAAAGTACATGGTATAGTTCTTGTGTTCTGAGACTTAAAAAAGGCTGTAGAAAATCCTGCCAGAAATTTTTACAGGCTGATATGTTGTGTTATGCATTTTGACATATAAAAAAGGCAAGAAACTTTGTAAGGACTTAGATGTTAAGTAGCAGAAGCTATACGTACAGTAGCTCTGGTACAGAGCAAATCTATAGTAGTTTCAAAAATTAAAATGGAGGATATCAGTTGCACTCCTATGGAAACTAAAGTTAGGGAGTCTTATGTTCCTGCAGACACCACAAAAAGAAGTCAGACCTAACCTGACTACTCTAACCTCATACTTTCATAAAAATATATTAAAAAAAAAATTAGAAGATGGGAAAAAACCCTCAAACCTTCCTCCCACTCATAATTTCTCAACTACGACTTTTCTTGCTATTTCATGTTGAAATTTGGTGACTCTATGCCAGTAACTGAGAAAGAAGTTTCAGTACTGCTGTGAAAATATTTCATTATCCCCCATATAATGCATATATTTGAATAAATTTGCTTTTAAGCAGGAGGAAAATTGTCTRCATAACCCTGTTCATCTGTTTAATTTAGGAAAAAAATTTAATGCCAATTTTTGCAGTTGTTAGTTTGATTTCCCCTCTTTCTTCTTTTAGTAGTTATTTTAAGTTCATCAAGTATTCACTAGGTACAGAAGAAATTTATAGAGAGCATCTTAAGACCACATTTGAAGGAAGACAGATGTGTTACTGAAAGAATTGGATGTATTTTTCCAAAGAACAGGGTACTACTGTTCTGTGTGTAATCTTTATAAAGTCTCGAAGCCTTTATTGATTTGTCAGGCTTTCCCTGCAGGCAGTGTATATATTACAGACATTAAGTCTTCTAGCAAAAGCTTTTTTTYTTGTTTGTATTTGGATAGTAGGGTTATCCAGTTGGTTAGAACTTCACCTGAGACTCACAGTAAAATATGTTCTACTTTGTAAAAGGTTGTTAGCTGCATATTCCCTTATTTTTTGCCATCTACACATTATTTGAGGTCTGATAGTCAAAATCTTCATGAGTCAGATATACAAGAGCAGAACAGATTTGTAACAGTAAAATTCTTTAACAGTATCTTGGACCATAAGACTAATGATGGCTAATAGAACATGCATCACAACAAATGGGTAGGAGCAGAATCTACCTCAAGTCAGTTGTGTTAGCTAAGTGTTGATGACTGGGCTTCTTGCACAAATTAATTTGAATTGTAGTTAAGAACATGTTGTGGCTATACATCCCCAAATCTCAAAACTGAAATGAATTCTGAAACAGATGCAGCAAATTGAAGAAGCTCATGATAAGAAGAGATAGCATTAAAGCGGTCAAATCTCTTCTAAAATCATATGCTCGTTAACCTAGGTCAGTAGAAATATTCCATACTTGGAGATACTGTTCATGAGTATGATTAGTTGGTAGTTTCTTGAGTAGGTGTTAATTTGCATAGATTTTTTTTTTTWTTATTTCTTATCAGTTGAGGCATAAATCATATTAGTAAAATCAGATTTTGTGTGACACTGTTCTAAATTATAGCCTAATGATTATTATGGCTTAAATAACCTTAGCAGGTTTCTTGACTCAATGATTTATTCCTAGTATTCATGAAGCTCCGTAGTATGTTTTAAATACTTACTGTAACTATTTGGCTACAGACTATATATAGCTTCAGATATTTGGAATATTATTCAAGCAGAGTTTCTGACTTAATAAGTGGATTTATTCATAAGAAACACTTTCCTTCTGACTGGCTGGCTCCAATCGTTGAAGGATATAGTGCTGACATGCTGTGAAAGTTTGCTTGTCCTCAAAGTTTGCAGGGCAGAGCATAGTTCTAGTCTTGAGAGGAATAAGCTCCTGCTAGAGGCCGTTTAAAGCAGTTTCTGAATAGACTCCAAGCTGGGCTTGCTGATGGTCCAGTAGTTTAGAACACCAAAAGAGAGAATTTCTTGTGGTAGGCTGTGATTTATCTAGTGTTTCTCATCTAGAATCTAGGGCCATTATCACAAATAAAAAATAAATTTAAAACAAAACAAAAAACAAACA